TGGACACGTGCGGCGGAAGGAGTTGAAGGGGCACTTGCTGCGGTGCAGAATACGGAGGCTGCACTTGCGCCTGCGAATATTGCGGCAGTGGACACGTGAGCGGGGGGTGAGACAGGGCAACCGACCGGAATAGGCTCTCCAAGGTCGCTGCGGCGTGTCCCAGCCAACTCTCCGTAGCCGAACCCCGGCCGTTCCCTCCGCCGGCTCTCCACCCGCGGCGCGGGCCGGTCTGCCTGCGCTGTCCCTGCGGCATCCGGTGTTGCAGTATGGGCATCGCCTGCGCCGCGTGCTGGGGCATCCCTTGGCGCGGGAGGGCGGGCTGCGGCTGTTGCTGCTGCGGCGCCGCACTCTGCTGGCCACGCCCCGTGCGCGCATCGGTCTTCTGATCGCGCCGCCGTGGAGTCTTGTGGCGGCCCCCAAACCGCCGCGACATTCGCTCAGGGGTCTGTCGTCGACTTGTCGATGGGGCAAGCAGCCCCCTCTCCCAATCGCGGTCCGACCGCGGCGGGGAGCTCGGCCGATCTCGGCGGAGGACACTCTCCCCAGTGCTCTCCATATCGCAGGAGCGCTCGCGGTGGGGACGCTCCTCACCCTCCGCCTCCAGGGGGGGATTCATCGTGGGCCCAACCGGCCCCGGCGGCCTCCCCCGCGTGACGGACCGGACGGCGAGCGACAGCTGGAGAGACAGGGAGACGCGGCAGAGGCAGGGATGGCGGCACTAGGGGCCGAGGAAGCTGTGGGCGCGGGCGCGGACGGACAGGCGACTTGGCTCGTGACGGCGGCCCACTGAACGGTTTCCAGCAGGCTGCGAATCGGGCTTTAAGGGAGATGGGAATTAGGGGAGCAACTGACGAGGAAGAAAGAAGAGATAGCACATATATCCAGGAAGCGCACCTGGAATCAACCACCGAGGAGTCCAGTGACACACTCGGGGAAAGGGTGCCAAGACGGACGGGGAGTGGGATCCGAAACCCCTCTCCCAGATCCAGGGGCCTTGGACTGGTGGGAGTACCGAATGTCGGGGCACCGCTGGACGTTCCCTCCCTGGCAGTCAGACAACTGTCCCCGGAGGAGCTGGCCAGCGATGCTTCACGATTTGCCCAAATAACCAGCTGGGATATCGCGGTGCTGTGCGACAGTCGCCAGCCCCCTCTTTCGCGGCGGCTACCCCCCTGTATTCGTCAGCTGTTCGCGCTGGCGCCGCTGACGCCCCTCCTTTTCCTCGCAAAAAATCCAACATCAATTGGGGGCTAGCGTTTGTTTCTTTTCCTCCCTCGCCTAAATCTTCACATGTCCTCGCCCAAACGACCGGACTGGCCAGCGATGAAGAAGCGCCTGCAGCAGTTCCTCGCGGGCCAGTGGGATGCCCTCTATCAGTCCGCTGCAGCAGCCGTCGCACTGCCTGCACCCCCACGCCATGTTCACGTCGACCTCGGAAAAATCTCCCAAGCTGAATGGCTGGTGCGACGAGGCAGCCTTCGCCGTGCCCTGCTGGCGCTCCAGTCAACTCCGGTCAGCGAGTCAACCTCAGACGTCCTTAACTCGCTGAAGTCCAAACACCCGCAGCCGTTGACCTAGGACCTTACGTGGCCCTCTTTGGACGACGTCAACCCACCCAAGCTCGACTTCTCCGATTTCGTGCGCCTACTTTCGTTAAGCGAAAATGGGGTGGGAGCAGGCCCTTCGCGGATGACCTTCGAGCACCTTCGCGATGCCTTGCTCACCAATCCAACCATCGCTAAGCACCTGCATGACATCGTGCAGCTGCTCCTCGCAGGTAACCTGCCCCAGGAGGTCAACCTGCTGCTAACTGCGTCACGCCTCCTAGCCATTCGCAAGCCTGATGGGGGCTCTCGCCCCATAGCTATAGGCGAGTGCCTCCATCGCCTCGCCGCCAAATCCGCCCTCATCTCAACCACCCAGCTCGCGTAAGAATTTTTCCTGCCTCTTCAGTTCGGTGTTGCAATCCGGAGCGGCGGGGAAGCTATCATCCACGCCACATGGGCATTCACCTCCGCACGCCCCGGGTCCTTGGTCATCCAAGTGGACCTCACTAACGCCTTTAATAGCGTTGAGCGCGGGGCGATTATCACCGCCATCAGCGCCTCGCCCCTGCAGCCGTTATTACCATTCATCCAGTTTTTGTATGGTACCCCCTCGCTACTTTACCTCGACGAGGGGTTCGGCAGCCCCCCACTCCAGAGCGCACGGGGCGTCCGCCAAGGGGACCCAATGGGCCCGTTGCTCTTCCCAGCGGCCATCCTCCCCGCGCTTCAATCCACGGCTACCGCCCACCCCGACGTCCTATGCCTCAACTACGTGGACGACGTGACGTTCGTGGGCAAACCCACCGCCTGCACATCCGCCTTCCCTCACTTCACGGGCGCCATGGGGGCCATTGGCCTTACTCACAACCCCTCGAAGTGTGGGGCCTGGTCATCCACACCTCCCCCACCCGACGTCCTTCCCCCGGACGTCCCTTTCCACAACGAGGGGCTAC